CACACACACACACATACACACACACGGTTTCTTCTCTCTCTGTCCCACTACCTGCTATCCTTATCTGCCTGGTGAAAGGGGAACACCCTCCATTCAATCCCCTCCTTACTCTCTCCACCCCCTCTCAACTTTAGTATTTATTCTTCCAGATTCTTTTCTGTGCATTTATATATATATGTATCATATATTATTTCTAATCCTAAAAACAGTTGTTCAAGGAAGGTATGAATATCCCCATTTTGCAGATGAGAAAACTGAGGCAAAGAGAGGCCAAGTTACTTGTCCAAGGTCACACAGCCAGCAAGGAGCAGAGCTGAGTTGAAATCAGGCCTGAGTGACTACAGAGACTGATGGGCAAGCCTTGTCCCTCTGGTACCATCTTGACCACAGCAGGTTCCAGACATTGGCTTTTTTTCCTTTTTTTGAGACAGGATCTCATCCTGTCACCCAGGATGGAGTGCAGTGGCATGATCATAGCTCTCTGCAGCCTTTATCTCCTGGTCTCAAGTGATCCTCCCACAGGTGTGCAACAGCATTGCTGGCTAATATTTTTTATTGGTCTTAATGAATTGTAGTTCATTTCTTATCTGTGTCTCCCTCTTGCCCCTTCTCTCCATGTTGTTATTATTTTTGCCAAATGGATCAGTCACGGTGGGCACTCAATACAGTTGGGCCACATGGAAGTCACCCTCTGCACTGCTGCCTCTGCCCTTCTCCCCGACCTGGAATCACAGCCAATCTAACGGTTTTAGTTAGACCACTTTCTGCATTCAGAGCCAATGGAAATACTGCCAGCAAGGGCAGCATTGCCACCATTTCCCCAGATTGTGGCTGACCAATGTGCACCTATCCCAAACCACTGAGCACTTGGGGCTGAGTGTTCATCTCTTTTTGGCCAAATAGGACATTGTTGTGAAGAGGAGGATTCAGCACAGGTTCTCAAAAACACCCACCACACGTGGGGAATCTGGGAAGGCAGCTAGTTGTTGCCTGCTCTTGCTTGGGAGAGAAAACCAGGGGGAGGAACGACTCCTAATTGTTTTCCTCTTTATAATGGGGCTTGTTGGCCAGGAGCTGCTGCTGCTGCTGCTGCTGTGTGTATAAAATACTAAAATAAATTCTCATAATTGGTGTAGGCTGGAAAAGTGGAGAACTAGGAGAGGCAGGAGTCAAAGACATTGCTAAATGGATTGAAAAAACACATTTCAGAGCTAGGCCTGGAAGCTTCTTAAAAAGGTAATGGGACCTTTTTTCCTGTTGAACTTTCAAACCTTCTGACCCTGTAATTTCTGCTCTGGAGTTTATCAGGGACACTGGGGGCCAAGAGTGTAGCACGACTAAAGTTACTGGGACAAAGCTGGAGGCAGGTCAGCGCTCCACAGGGGAGTCCCCAGGGCCTGCGGGCAGCCACTGCCACCAGGAACTTCTAAGGCCAAGAAAGGGAAGCCTCGAAACCAAACATCCCTGCACAGTCCCCGGCAAATGTGTTCCTCATCAAGGCAGATACAAACAAAGTTTATTAAAAAACCTTCTAAAGGGACATTCCAAATCACCAGCAGGCCTCCTCGAGGTGGCTGTCCATTCTCCTGCGAACTCTTGTTTCAGCCTTGTTGGAGCTTTTCAAACACCGAGTCACCAATGTATCCAAGAAGGAAAATAAACAGGGGGCTCAGGGTGACCCAGCGCTCAGTACAAGTCTGCACTTTCTGACACCACAGCCGGCTGGGTTGATCGGAATGACCTGGGGATGGAGTATAAACAGGGCAGTGAAGCCTCTGGCCCTGCGGTGGGGGTGCTCCCTCTTTGTGTCCTATTGGCAGCCCACCAGGCAGAGGAAGGGCCCCTATGGTTGCAGAAATGATGGCCTGGTACCCTGGAGTGAGCTCTGGAATGGGAAAGTCATGCGCCTTCTGCATTCTGGGAGGAGGAGAGGACCCTGCCTCTGACTAACTGAAAATTTCCTCATCTGTAAAACTGGTGGTTTTCCCAATAGATGGAAGTAGGATTGCTCTGGTTGGAGTGGAGGTTGCGGGCATCAGAACTGGCTTCATATGTTTCCCAAAGCATGTAGGGGTACCTCTGGATCTCTAAGGGCCTGTGGAGCAGTTTAATACCCCCCATTCCAGAGTTTAAAATAAGAGTCTATAATTTTAAAATAATCTAAGTATAAAGTGGACTAATAAGCAAGTTGTGAACCAGAATAGCAGTACAAGGGGCAGGAATAGCTCTGTCTCTAGCGCCAGACAGGCCTAAGTTGCCACTGCCCACCTGTGTCACAACTTCATTGCTTAAACTTCCAGAACCTCATGAAAGGTTACTACCTCATGCCATTGGTGTGAGCATCTGTGCTAAAGTCTAAACCATCAGTAAAGACTGACACAGAGTCAATGCTTAGTAAGTGGTAGCTCATTTGACTCAGCAATCCTACTACTGGATATATACGCAAAGGAATACAAGTTGTTCTACCATAAAGGCACATACATGCATATGTTCATTGCAGCACTATGCACAATAGCAAAGACATGGAATCAACCTAAATGCCCAACAATGGTAGACTGGATAAAGAAATTGTGATACATACACACCATGGAATACTACAAAGCTATAAGAAAGAATGAGATCATGTCCTTTGCAGGAACATGAATGAAGCTGGAGGCCATCATCTTTAGCAAACTAATGCAGGAACAGAAAACCAAATACTGCATGCTCTCACTTTTAAGTGGGAGAAAAATGATAAGAACTCATGGGCACCAAGAGGGGAACAACAGACATTGGGGCCCACTTGAGGATGGAGGGTAGACGGAGGGAGAGGAAAAGAAAAAATAGCTATTAGGTACGATACTTAGTACCTGGGTGATGAAATAATCTGTACAACAAACCCCCGTGACACGAGTTTACCTATAGGACAAATTTGCACCTGTACCTTTGAACCTAAAATAAGAGTTAAAACAGTGGTAGTTATTGTATTTTTATTGTTAGACATGCCCTATGACACTAGCCTGTTCAACATTTTGGGGAACCAAGGGGGTGTCCAGATAATAAAAGAGGAGGGAGAAGAGAAGGTACTCATGGGATGAAGGAGGAACTTTGCTGCTGATAAAAATCACACCCATGCCGGGCGCGGTGGCTCACGCTTGTAATCCCAGCACTTTGGGAGGCCGAGGCGGGTGGATCACGAGGTCAAGAGATCGAGACCATCCTGGTCAACATGGTGAAACCCCGTCTCTACTAAAACTACAAAAATTAGCTGGGCATGGTGGCGTGTGCCTGTAATCCCAGCTACTCAGGAGGCTGAGGCAGGAGAATTGCCTGAACCCAGGAGGTGGAGGTTGCGGTGAGCTGAGATCGCGCCATTGCACTCCAGCCTGGGTAACAAGAGCGAAACTCCATCTCCAAAAAAAAAAAAAAAAAAATCACACCCATAACAATTTATTGAGAGCTTCTATGAGCTAGTACTGCGTATGGAGATTATAACAAGTCCTTCTTGCGACACTCCCATGCTGCTGGCTACTGTGTTCTTTTTCTTACAGGGAGAAAACTGAAGCTCAGAAAGCCTCAGCGATGGCCCAAATCTCCAGGCCCGTAAGAGGACCTAGGACTTGCTGTCTGATGCCAAAGTGTAGGCTCTCAGCCCCTAAGGGTCACATGTTCCTAAATCTGAGATGAATAGTGCCCTCCTCCTGAGCCTTGGTCTGGAGCTCCACATCTTGTCCTGTGGGGAGCCAGCTACTGCTGCCAGTTGCAATGCTGGAGAAATCCTTCCTGTCACAGCATTGTGTACAAAGCCAGGGAATGATTTGGCCAGTTTGGGTGATCCCAGCTTTCCTGGTTTTAAGCCCAGATTCTCAACTCTGGCTGCACACTAGCGCCACCTGGAGAGCTTTGAAAAACTCACACCACCCAGGCCACCCAGGCCACCTAGGCCATCAGCATCTCCTGGTGGGGCCAGGACATTAGTATCTTGTTAAATTCCCTGGTGATTCCAAAGAGCATTCAGGCCTGAGGACCTCTCAGAAGGGAAAACAGCTGGTTCTGGAGCTCTCATTCTCTTTCACTGACAGGCTGGGGTGGGGGCTGGGAGTGAAGGAGGTGTTTTGAGGCAGGAATTGTGCAATGGGTAGGGAGTTAGTAAAAGGGGAGAGATTAAAGACTGACAAAGAATGTGTGGGGTGTGGAACATGGAGGCTCAGACAGGTTAAGTACTGGATTCAGAGTGCACACACAGGGTCAGTGGCAGAACTGGGAATCGTCACATCGAAGTGGTACCAAAATGACTGGGATCTTTGTTACCAGGGAAACACCAAGCTCAGTGGTCGAGTTTTCCGGGACCCAGTTCTGCACCTGATTTTCTTTCCAACCCATCAACTGTGTTCACATCCAGGGCTTTCATCACCACCTGACTCTCAAAATTTTGTTTCCAGTCATGACTGGTCCTTGGAGCCTCAAACCCAGTGACTCACCTGACATTTCCACTTGGATCACGCCAAGGCATCTAGGGCTTCACATGGCCAAGACTAAACTCATGAACTGCTTTTACCCCCAACTTGGTCCTTCTGCAGGTTCTCAGGCCCAGCCACTAGGAGTCACACTTGACTCTTCCCTCTCACTCACTGCCCATGTCCATCACCAACACCTCTTAGTACCTGTCTTCTTAGCTGTTAGTACCTTGTAAGGACCTGTCCTTCTTGGCCTCTTGTCTTCATCTTCATTGCCACCTTACTAGTCAAGCTATCATCATCTTTGGTAATTTATTCTTTTAATTTTTTACTTTTTGGTAGTTTATTTTTGCTTACATGATGATTTGACTTACATCTGCTTCCCGCACTAGCTTATATACTGCATAAGGGCAGGGACTAGCTTTTTTTTTGGTATCCTCAGCATCTTACGTGGCCCTCAGTAAATATTTGTCGAGTGAATAACCTTGTTTTAAACTTTTTATTCATTTTGAGGGTTGTTGATATAATCACTGCTTCATTATGGCTTGCTGCTTTCAGGACGATGAAATCATGAAGCTGAAATCAGGAGGATGTGCTTAGATGACTTTGCATTCCATGAAGTCTGGGAGCAAAGAAGTTTTGTCTATGGAGGTTGAGCAAGGGGGTCTGAGGGAACCACATGCTGTGAGCTGAGACGTGGACACACGACAGGGCAGGTGAGTGCGCACACACTTAACAACCGTCCTCAGTCAGCCCTTCTCTTGCTTCCTTGCTCAACAGACATTATCTTTATTTGGAGAATCAATTATGAAATCAATCCCTCACTATTTCTCCAACAATGCAGCTAATAAAAAGAAAAGCTATTTTGATGGTGTCTGGTTTTCAGCTAAAAGGAGGGTCAAAATAGCAATTTTATCAGCTGCCCTTTGAAAGTGCTTCTCTTGGTCACAGCAGTTCACAGGGGGAAACATGATGATTCTGAGTCCATTCTTGATATTAGCTCCTGCTTGAGGTGACAGATTGTGTTACCTCTGAAGCAGGGCATCCGTGGGTAGCCAGCAAGGTCGAGTCAAGATTATATCATGCCACCTGTGTCATCAGAACATGGCTCAGTTCTCCCCTATCACCTGTTCCAGTGAAATACTGGCCAAAATGGTGTGTCTGTGGGATTCTGGCAAAAGTGGGCCATGGGAAGAAGCCCCAGGCCCTGGGCTCTTCATGCCCTTTCTTGAACCTTCTCTTCTAAGACGCTTCTCCAAGAAAACTACCCCAGTGTCATTGTGGCAACTCTGACTTGTTGTTCCCATCCCCAGGTGGATGGAAAGGCCCTTGAGGGCATTCCCCACCATCACCTATCTGGGTCTTTATGAGTTCTTAGGATTTCCCTGGTAGGGGGCAGAGGTATGGCTGTGAAGTAGTTAGAAATTAAGTACTTGAGTCAGAGAGACTAAATCTACTTTCTGCATCTGTCACTTCTTGGCTAAGAACTTTGGGCAAATTAATACTGCTGAACCTCAGTTTCCTCATCTATAAGATAGGGATCATAATAGTAGTTATTATATGTTTCTTGCATGAGGTTTTGTGAGGTGGATTCAATGAAATAATGCATATAAAGCTTTTAGTTTAGTGCCTTGCAGCAGGAAATACATAATAAATACCAGCTAATGGAATGAATGGAGGGTGGAAGTGCCCCTCGTTCCTGGGTTGGGGGTCAGGGGAGATGCTGGTATATGCTGGAACCCATTGGAGGTGAATTCTCAGCTCTTCTAAGTTCACCGCTCCTTTGGATCTGATTTCCAAAAATGCTAAATAGACAGCATTGTCCTTTACTGCCATCTTATTAAGCAAGGCCCAGATTTAGAACCCACATATTTTACAGGTTAAATGCCATCAGAAGACATAAAACAGATTGCAGTGTCCCCAGCCAGCAGCTCCTCATTTGCATATATCTTACAGATACAAGTAGTTTTATTTGTTGTCCCTTTTACTAACCCATCTTGTCTAAGTATATTTTTTGAGACTCTGAATCTGTCAAAGAGGTATTTTAAAGGAACTCATCAATTGTTCTTGGCCACCAAAGAGTAAACAAAAGCGCAGATGCCTCATTTTTCTAGGCTAGAACACCAGCCACCCTGCTTTGATGTGTCAGTATTCCCTAATGAGGTCAGGAAAGCAGTATGTGTTCTCAAGAGCTTCTTGTGCACAGCCAAGCCCCAATGACTGAGACACCCAGGGTGTGGTTGGGCTCAGAAGAGCTCTGCCGATTTGCAGCTACCTCTTAGGTTGCTGTCTTGTGGCAGTTGTTCTGAGCTGAGTCTGCCTGTGGGTGATGGGGCTCCTAACATCTCCAAGATATGCTCCCCTGTGATTATGTGCACTTCTTGATTATGTGTACGCTCCTCTGTGTGTCCGTGTACCTGCTACATTTGCATTTGGGGCTCTGGGTCTTACAATCCAGTTGTAGGAAAAGTGAAATGAATTAAGAGGATCTCAAGATGGGGTCTTCTCCAGGTGGGACATTCAGGCCAGCATGGGATCGCAGGGATTCAGGTGATATGTCTGGAGCAGTGTAGTGTCAGGACAATAGTGAAAGCTACTATTCATTGAGCAATTACTACGTGCCAGATGTGGCTGAATACTTCCTATGTATTATTTCATTTATTTACTTACTTTTTTGAGATGGAGTCTCACCCTGTTGCTCATGCTGGAGTGTAATGGCGGGATCTCAGCTCACTGCAACCTCCGCCTCCCAGGTTCAAGCGATTCCCCTGCCTCACCCTCTGAGTAGCTGGGATTATAGGCATGTACCACCATGCCCGGCTAATTTTTTGTAACTTTAGTAGAGACAGTCTTTCGCCATATTGGCCAGGGTGGTCTCAAACTCCTGTCTTTGTGATCCACTTGCCTCAGCCTCCTAAAGTGCTGGGATCACAGGCATGAGCCGCCATGCCTGGCCTGTTATTTCATTAATCCTCACAATAGCCTTCTGAGCTAAGCACTGTAACTTCCCAATTTTACAGATGAAGAAACCAAGAAAAGAGGAGAGGTTAAGGCACTTTCTGAAGTCTTGGAGCTAGTATGTGATACAATTGGGACCCAAAGCCTATGCTCTAAACACCCCTGTGCAGCCCTGGGTGGGACATAGAGCCACAAATACCTGGGAACCTGCTCCGAGTTAGCCACTTGGGTTATGTGAGCTTGGCCCAGTCACTTAACCTCTCCCACCCTGTTTTCTTATCTGCAAAATGGAGCTCCCACACAGGGAAACTGTGAGAATTGAATGAGATCACCAATGTATTATATATTTAGCACAGTGCCTAGCACAGGTGAGGGCTCAATAATACAAGTTTCTTCCCCTAGTCCCACCTCTTGGTTTAGGAGGGAAGAAATGGGAGGGACCATCTCTCCTACAATTTCAGCATCCTCTCCCTCCCCTAGGCTTTACAGCACCCTTTGCACCAATGTCAGGAGGTCCTTGGTTCCTGACAGTATGAATACCATTTCTCAGTTTAATCATCTTGGCTGCATGGGAAAGGCAGCACTGGCTAGTGTAAGGAGCTCTTGACCAGAATTGAGGCTAACCGTGGTTTTAGTCCAATTCCAGCTCTGAAATTTGGGCAACTTCTGTCTTTCTGGGTCTCAGCTTTCCCATCAATAAAATGGAAGATGTGTCCATATGTAGGACCAATGTGCATACGTGGTATAGGTGCAGCCACTCCCTGGTTCTGCACCCATTAAAGATGTGATTAATCAATTGCACCATCTCTGTTGGTGATATTGGATGTAGCTGCAGAGCTCTCCCCAACACATGGAGGTAATCACTATCAAATGGTTAGAGTTGAAATGACTACTGGAACCTCATGGCTCCAATATCATTCCTGAAACAGCTTGCTGTCTAAGGACCCTTCCATCTCTGTTATTCTGACTCTACCATCTGGGTCTTTACCGCTCTGTGGGACAGTGCAAAGAGCATGGGTCTGAAATGAGGGGAGTTGATTATAGCTGTAGCCACATCTAGCAGCACTGTGAACGTGGGCAAGTTGTTTACACTTTCTGAGCCCTGTTTTCTAATTTGTAAAAAGGGAGTCCTTACGTAGGCTCTGGCCATTTGCATTGTTGTGAGACCAAAAACACTGTAGCCTCCCTAAAGGCAAGACCTGGGTCCCTGTCATTGTCGCAGTGTGCTTAGAACAGGGCCTGGCCTGAAGCTGGTCCTTCACGAAGTTTCATTCAGTTGAAGCATGGTAGAATATTAAACCTGTAAACATGGAAGGAACTACAACACCGTCAATTACGTCTCTAGAGATGTGGTTTTCAGTCTTTATGGAGCACAGTGCTGCTCTGGGAGCCCGTTCAACATGCAGAGTTCTGGGCTCTGCTTCAGGGAGCTGATCCAGGATGGCTGGGTTAGGACCCAGAAATGCCCAATTTCATCAGGCTTTCCTGGGAATTCTGTTGAAGGTGATCTAGAAACCATGATGTGGGAAACAGGGCTTCAGAGTTGGGAGGCTCAGAATGGAAGGTAAAATAAATGGAGAGGCCTCAGTTTGTTGCAGTTGTCCACCAGGATTTGAATAGGGTGGCATTTTGGAGTTCCCAGAGCCTCTGGACCAGTGAGGGAGTCACTGGGAAGGCTGACTGTGCCTTCCCCTTCAACCCCTCATTAGCTGCCTCTCTGAGATTTCAGTGCTCCGTGACTGACACTCTTAGGTCTCAGTGCCCTGACCCTTGTGGCCCACATAGCAAGCAACCAGGTTAGGGGCAGTTCCCCTTTATCCCAAGTAAAATAGGAGTGTTGGGGTGTAGGCTGTCAATGCTGTTCATCCTTAACTATCCTGTGTGGCTCATGTGCAGCTCTCTCCAGCTCCATCTGCAAGCTGGAGACACAGATCTTTTAGGAAGGGCAGCTAAGAGGTGGCTGGCAGGGACTCAACCAGGGTACTCCAGCTCAGGTGGATTGTGTGTGTGTGTGTGTGTGTGTGTGTGTGTGTGTGTGTGTGAGACACACAGAGAGAGATGGAGACAGACAGAAAGACAGAGAGTGCTTTCTGGTGATTTTGGCTGTCTACACGATTCCCAAAACGACTGAGTAGAAAGCGAAAAACGAATGTCATGTTGGGGAATTTTTTTCCTGCGTGTTGGTAAGCATGGAGATCTTTGCAGACACCCACGTATTAGATGGAAATGGGAATGTTTCATCTTTACGTTTCAGTGTGTGATAATGCATCTTGCATATGTAGACAATTGGTTAAAAAAAAACACTCTGAATGATGTTACTTTGCTTTACATTCATAATCATCATTGTTGTCATCATAATCCTCATTACTCAGGCTGATTTCATGAATTATTGAGAGAGAGCTGGAATCTGAATTCCCAGTAAATATTCAAAATGAATCCAAATTAAAAAAATTTTTCTTCTTTTCTTTTCCTTTCTTCTCAGGACCTGTCTTCCACAGCAGCCAAGTTCTGTTAACCTCATGGGCTTCTTAAGTGATTAAATGAGTTAACATGTGAACTCTGTTTACAACAGTGCCATAAATTCTCTTAAAATGATGTCCATTCTTCTTTGCTACTACTACTACATGCACAATCCTGTTAACATAAATCCAACTGGAGCAAGCCCCTTAATTATCCCAAACCAATGGGGGAATTATCTGCCCTACAGACATTAAATTCTCGGCCAACCGAACTCTTATACTTTGGAGACTTGTGAGCT